TCAAGTTTCCCAAGACTCCCTCAGCAGGAATGTCATTGCAATGAAATGGTTCCTCTTGCAACCTCAGGACTTGTCAGGAGGGTCAAGCGAGCATCCAGCCTTCCATCTTTCCAGCCTGAGCTCTGAAACAGGTGCCCTGAGCTTCAGGTACCATTTTGGAGCCAGCCCAGAGCCCCTGTGGCTTCAGCCCCCTCCAAGCACCACAGTGCCCACCTTGCCGGCCACCCCTGCCCACACCTCTCCCAGTGGCCTTCCCCAGCCCAGCAGGCGTCTGTGAAACATGAGTTGGTGCTGTTACATTGCCTGGCCTGCGTTTCTAAGAGCTGAGCCAGCAGAGATTTCAACCAGCTCTGTAGTGGGTGCTGGAAGCTGGTTTGGGGCACCCTAGCTTCAGGTGACTCCACCCGCAGAAAGCAGCACTGGGTGACACTGAAATGGTCTCATTTTGTATCAGAGAGCTTCTGCATCCCTTCCCCCATGCCAAGTGCTGTGCAAATCCTGGGAATCCTCCCTCTCAACACTCTGTCATGGTGTAATTCTATTATAATTCCTGATATTTGAGAGACTTCTAACATGCATGCTTTAAATTAGACAAGCAATATCTTGCTCGCTGCTCTCAGATAAATAAAAAAGCGCAAAACCTAATTTTCTGACACTCTGTTCTTGGTACTGATTTCCTTTTAAACCTGTAGCTACCATCCTGTCACTCCTTCCTCATGTGTGGCTTGTGGGTATTACATAAAAGGTGATATTTCATGTCTGGTGCACACATGTGCAACAGATGTGCAGAGCGCAGGAAGGTGCCATGCTGAAGCAAACATGCACTGGCGTTTTGTTTTTCACACAGCTGTATGTAGGGACTTAAAGGCAACAAATGCAATTTTAGATCAAACAATAGACAAGGACAAAATGTGTTTTGTAAACAGACATACAACCTAAATATAAAGTTGCTTACAGAATCTGTGTGAATTTTATTTATGTTTCCTGGTCTTTGCTCTCCTCTGGGATCTTACATATTTTGCATTATTATCAAATATTTGTAATGATCCCTATAAACTGCCTAATGTTAAAAGCTACTCCAAGTGTAACTTGACCCAGAGGAAAGATGCTTATCTGAGCTCCACAATGACAGATTAAAAAAATATGCTGATGCAGTATGTCTCTTGTAAAATGAGGGAAATATAAGAAAAATCAAAAATGCATTGACTTTTTTTTTTTTTAATTTTTTTACCATAAGATAAAGCAGGAATTATCTCTGTTGGCTTTTGCAATGAAATACCACTAGCAAGAGCTACAAATATACAGCACTTCTGCTCCCAAATGCACTAGCCAACCAAGGAAGGAAGGAGAGGAGTAAATGCTCAGCCAGCCGGTACTGTCAGAATCTATTTCACTGTTTAGTAATTATTTTTTTTATTACTATGACAACACGGACCATAAGAACTGCTTCTTTAACCCTAGCAAATGATAAGTGCAGATGAGACTTTTTTTAACTGATGAATCGCTTTTTACTTCTGCCATGTAAGAAAGTGATGGCACTACCAGAGTGTCCTGCCCTGCTCTGCCTCCTTCTGCCTTGCATGGATGGCTCTGCTGCAGTGTGGCACTCGGGTCATTTTTTTTATATCAGGAGGCATTTGAGAATGGCTCCACTCTGGCTCAGCACTTTTTGTCTCAAAAAAAAAAAAAAAAAAAAAAAAAAAAAGCGCAGCATTCTCCTTTTTTAAAGTGCTTCCAAATCTTTTACATCTCTTTTCCTTTTCTCTCTTTTCAACCCCCACCTTTTTTTTTCCCCCTTGTGGTCCTGGAGACCACCCTGTAAGCCTACATGACATCATGAGAGAGAATTAAACGTACTTGAAAGGCCACTTCTGTTTTGGTGGGAACTTCTATGCAATTGCAAAGTGCCCATTAAAGCACAGGTTGTTTCCTAGAAGCATGTCCAAGCCAGTAGCGTGCAAACCCCTTCAGGGCTTCTAGAAAGCATTCGCTTTTGAAATGCTGAAGGAAATTCAGAGATGAAAGGATAAGTCTCCCTGGCTGTGCATTTACAGTCTATTGTCTTCCATGAAGGATAGTATCACTCCTCAGTTGTGTTATTGCAGTTAATCCACTTAAATACTATTGGATTTTCAGATGAGCTGAATTCTTTGCATCTGCTATTAAGAACCTTTGTTTAGATGAGAAAGGGCTGTTATTTAAATCACAATGAGTTCAGGGAGATGTCAGGGTGCAGCAGGCACCTTGTGCCAATCCGCGCCGGGGGAACGGGGGCAATTTCTGGCTGGGGCGGCGAGGAGGAGGGATGCGAAGGGAACGCGAGCTGGCCCCGCGGAGCGGCGGGGCCGGGTCGGGACCGGCTGCGGGGTTCGGGACCGGCTGCGGGGTTCGGTGCCGGCTGCGGGGTTCGGGACCGGCTGCGGGGTTCGGGACCGGCTGCGGGGTTCGGTGCCGGCTGCGGGGTTCGGTGCCGGCTGCGGGGTTCGGGACCGGCTGCGGGGGCCCGGGCCGGCTGCGGAGTCCGGCTGCGGTTGCGGAGGGTCGGTGCGGGATGCGGGGCCGGGCCAGTTGCGGAGGTCCAGGACGGGGCTCTGGGGCAATTACAGGGGGCCGGAGCAGTTCGGGGGGCCGGGGCAGTTTCGAAGGCCGGGTCCGGCTGCGG